GTTGTGTGTTTGGTGGGTGATGTTTCTTGCATGTAGTGCTGTTGACTTGCAAACAGGATCTCATGCCCTTGCTTCTATATTTGTCTAACAGTGTGACGATTAGATCTTACATTTGCTATGTGCACTGTGGACTTCAAAGGGCTTTCACATGCATTATCCATTTGTTCTCATTGGAGTCTCACAGTTACCCAGTGCTAGCTGACCACAATATATATTATATTATAGTTCCTCCTGATTTTACTAGTGACAATCCACAGTTTAGGAAGGTGAAGTGACTCATCAAGGTTATAGAGTGAGTGGCAGAGACAAGGTGAAAAGCCACATCTTCTGGGGTTTGTGTGTGCCATGCTGTTTTCAGGTCTTAGTCAACCCTGAATTATTCCAGGAAAGAATTACTCCAGGAAAAGGAAATTAAGCAGGGCTTGAGTCACTGGGATAGCTTTAGCTCTGTGTGTGTGTGGAGAGAGAGAGAGAAAGAATAGAACTCTAGCCTTGAATATTCTCTCTTTGCCCTACAAACAATAGGATCAAATGAATTAATTAGTTCAACAAATACAGTACTTATTTAGTAATGGGCACTGCTGTAGGTGCTGGGAATATAGCAGGGAACAAAAAGACCATGTCCTTGCCTCACGGAGGTCACAGTCTAGATGTAATTGATAAATTAACCAGTCAATATGTAGTATGTCAGACATTGGTTAGTGTTAAGAAAAAAATCAAGCAGGGTGAGGGGGGATAGGAAAGTGGGGGTGGGGGGTTGGCTATTTTATTTAGAGTGGTCAAAGAAGGCCTCTACGGTAAGGTGGCATTTGAGAAGAGATTTCAAGGAAGTGAGGAAGTATGTCATGTGGATGCTGGCTGAGACAAGCCTGTTCAAAGGCCCTGAGGCAGGGCATGTTTGGCATGCCTGAGAAACAGCAAGGAGACCAACCTGGCTGGGGAAGAGTGAGTGAACTGGGACGGAGGGAGAGAGTTATCGGCAGGAAACGCAGTCAAAGGGTGTGGCAGGGAGAGGGACAGGGTCCTTTGATCTAAAATATGTTGTTAGAGGATTTATGATGGACTGATTTGCCATCAGTTAAGGGTATTCCTGGAGAGTAATATTTCCACCTAGAACAGGAGACTCAGCCCTGCTTTGAGAGAGGACCACGGGGGTCTTCCTTTTCAAGCGTGATCAAGAGCTGTGGTGAAGTGAAATTTTAGTAATTTGTTCATTCATTTGAATCAGTGCACAGCTCCACTGAAGTGTCAGGAACGACCCTGGCCCTTGGTGGTTCAAGAGTAAGACAGACAGGGCTCCTGCTCTCAGGGAGCTCCCTTTAGGGAAAAAATGCAGACAGTAAACCAGCGAACAAATACGAGATTTCTGCTAGTGAGAAGGGCCAGGAAGAAAATAAAGCAGAGGGAGATGCAATGACGATGCCATCGTAGGGGCTACTTTAGATTCTAGTTGTATTTTGAAATGTGGGACTTAGGCTAAAAATGTTACACAGACAGAGCAATTTACAGTTTACAAATTCTAAGAAGCTGGCAAGAAAAGTATTATTCTGACTTTTTACATGAGAAACTGAGGTTCAGTGAGACTAAGCCACATGTCCAAAGCACTAGTAAATGACAGATCCAGGGTCTGATTCCAAGTTTTCTCTAATTTCCAGTACTGAAGATTTTCTCACAATATGCACCACCATGGAATGTGAGAGCAGGGCTGGGGAGCACTGGGGCGTGGGACGAGGGAATCAGCAGTAGCTCGCCAAGGCAAGAAACATGCGCCAGGGCAGGAAGAGAGCACAGAAGAGCGAGGACAGTAGCTGGCTCCCCCTAAGGTCCCACAGGACAACTGGTTGGATTTAGAGGGGCTGCAATCCCCACAGCCCCAACTTCCACAGGGCCCAGATAATCCGCATTCTAATCTCAGCAGAAGGGACCCTGCCTTGGATGGCTGCTCCCAGCTACCGGGGGCTAGGCCATTGGGGGTAGCCCTGGGTCACATGTGGTTTGCATTTATCTGCATCGTTGTCATCATATTTAGAAGATGACTACACCCTCATTTCTATCCCAGGCGTCTCTGCATTGTGTGGGGCTACAAATCAAATCTGGAAAAGCTGCTTCATCTTTCGCAGGCCAGAAATAGGGAAAGGCTTCAGGAATGTATAGTAAAGTCCCACCCATGCCCCTTCCCCACTTTATTAAAACAAATCTGAAACAACAATTGTCTAACATTTTCCACTTGATCATTTCACCCGGACTTGTCATAACTGTGGTCTTTGTCCACACCCACTGGAGTTTTTTTGCAGCCTGAGGGAAACTGGGAAGTATCTCTCCCTAGCTCTCCCTCGCTCCCATAATAAACAATCACTAAACAGCTTTGCTGCCCCAGGCAACTGTTTGTCTAGCTTGGCCAGGCCCTGCGACTTCAGCTAGGGAAGGGGGCTGGAGGCCTTCTCAGTGAAGCAAAACTCTGGGCCCAGACCGGGGACATTGGCTTTGACCAGAAATACTGTTTGGGAGCCTAGCACATCCTTGTGGTCCTGGAAGGCCCTGAGAGGGACTGCAGGTCCTTATCTGAATTGTCCAATGAAGCTCCCCTGGGGGGGGAGGTAGCAAGAACTTGGGGCTGGGGTGTGGAAGGGCATTGGAAGGAAGGACCAACCATCTTGCACTAATTGCAAGTAAAGTCATTTCCTGCTTGGTTTCCCTTCTGCAGCTGGGACAGTTCTACCAGCCATCCATCACTAAGGGACACCTTCACCACCACCACCACCACCACCAAAGAGTAACATCACTTCAGGGGCAAGAGCAAACCTAACCCGCTTCTTCTTAGCCATTAGAAAATCCCCTTTGTCCCCCTCCGCTGTGCTTGCATCTCTGGGAGGCTTTGTAGGGAACAGACTTCCTACAGAAGCCAAGGGGGAGGAGAGGGTGCGCAGGGGGCTGGGGAGGAGTAGGGTCCGCAGCGCAGGAGGCTACTCTTCGCAGACACAGACGGGAGAATTGTGACAATGGGATCAGCCTCCTTGGTGTAATATTTCCTCTTTATTCTTGGGGTGTCTCCTTGGGGGAAGAAAAGAGAAGGGGGATGGGCCAGGTCGGAAATAAGGGACCCGTTCAGACGCTCGGTAGGAAGTAAAGAATATTGGGCCTCGAGGGAGGGGGCCGCCGGCCTCGTCTAGGAAACCTCTCTTCCCGCCCCTCGGGTCGCCCCGGCGCTCCCTTTCCAGGCACCCTCCCGGGGAATC